ATCTCTTAAAACTCCATGGTTTACAACCTAAATGACATCCAACTGCAAGAAGTGCACGCGGAAAAAGAGGTGCGTCGCTTAAGCCCTCGTTGCATTGCGCAAAAGTAGCCAAGACTGTGATGTCTGTCCTGTATAATGTCAAACGGGCTTTCTGCGGCTTTAATAAAGACTGCTTCGCTGAGGTCTCAGGAGCAGTTTGTGTGGCCGAAACTGGATTTCGCTTCCCAAGTATTGAGACTCTGGACCGCGAAGGACCTCAGTTCCCTTGATAAGGTTTAAAGCCGTGCAGTTAAACTTGTGACCTGACAGGGTTCATGGGATACGAACATTTCGTATAATATGCGGTCAGGACAACTGTCTTCTTCATGGCGACTTCTTCGAGGTAGCAAGCACTACGAACGTAAGAGGTCATCCATTCAAATTACGTGCAACAGGGGCCAGAATAGACACACGAAATTTCTTCTTTTATAATAGAGTAGTTGAAGCTTGGAATGCTCTGCCCCTGGATGTTTTAATGTCCGCTTCCGTTGAAGTCTTAAAGAAAAAGTTAGATTGCTGTAAAAATGCTCACTCTGACACCAACTGACCGCTGTAGTCTCACTGCGAACCAAAGAAATATTGTATTCTTATAGTGTTACTTGTTTTATTTGAGTAACACTTATATACGAAGTAATGATATAAACCAAATTAATTCCATGTACATAATATTTCCTTGCTTCAGAATTGTATATCTGAATGCATTTCCATCTTTCTCGAAAACACGAATGTCGAGTCGTGTTCGAGTTATCTTACAACATTTCTCAACGGAATTTTTAATATTTGTTGTCCTTTTGACACGGTCATTTTTAGACCAGACCGCATATCTTCTCCCTCCATTAAAAAATTGAGAGGAAATAAGGAATTGTTCTACGAACTAGGTCTAAGTGAAAGACGGAAGGACGTTATTGTTCTCATAAAACGCGAGATCACAAGATTGAATGACCTTTTTGCCAGCCAGTTATTTACTCCTTCTACATCTTCGTCTCCTCTCTCTTCCTCCGAAATATGGAAGAGTCTTAAATGCCTCACCGGTCAACGCAACACACCGGCACATGTTGATGCTGACCTAGACAGTTTAAACTCAAACTTCATCCACACTCCCACTGATTCCTACCTCCCGACAAATGATATTTCCTTATCACCAAGTGATTTTTCTCCAGTGTCTGTGGCAACAGTGATGAAACACCTAAACGAGGTTAAAGGTACGACAGCTGCCGGACCAGATGGCATCTCCCCATTTCTCCTTCAATCTTGCTCTTTTCAATTAGCTCCTGTCTTGTCACGTCTTATTAATATATCTTTCATGGAGTCCAAAATTCCGGATGGTTGGCGTTCGGTCAAAATCACTCCTATCCCGAAAAACCCCACTTCTATGGGTCCCAAATCCTTTAGCCCAATTGCCTGCTCTTCTGCACTCCTCAAATTTACAGAACGAGTTGCTTTGGATATCATTCAGCCGTTTTTATCCAATTTCTCTGCTCCATTGCAGTTTGCGCATACGGCTAGGCGTAGTACACTAGATGATGTTGCTCTGGTAGTTCATTCTGCTCTTAGATACTTGGATAAGGGATGCCGTGCTTACGCATGCGCTTTTCTCGAATACTCCTCAACCTTCAACACGATCCCGCGCCATCTTCTTCTTCTTAATAAAACCTCTGCGTGTGGCTCTCCTGGCTTGGCCGTCTCT